CATACCTAGCCCGTCATATCAGCATACCTAGCCCGTCAGATCAGCATACGTAGTCCGTCAGATCAGCATACCTAGCCCGTCATATCAGCATACCTAGTCCGTCAGATCAGCATACCTAGTCCATCAGATCAGCATACCTAGCCCGTCAGATCAGCATTCTTAGCCCGTCAGATCAGCACACCTAGCCCGCCAGGTCATCATACCTAGCCCGTCAGATCAGCCCGTCAGCATACACTTTAATAAGATTAATTTGCCATTTCGAAATGTAGTACAGGTATTCGGATTTTAGCTACACACCAAGTGATTGCTTAGGGGTGTGGTCTTACCTTATTTAACAGATAGGGTGTACCCAACAGATACAGGTGATGGTTTTTTGCAACTTTTTCTTTTGACTGTCATCTCTTAATCGCTGTCATTCTAGATAATTATTTTGAACGTCATTTCACAGATCTGAAAAGTGATGCATCTGTGTGATTGAACCAAAGTTTATTGTCATATGGCTTCAAATAAATACCCAAATGCCAATGGAACTTATCTGGTTTATTAAAGATTACTCAGTGCAAAAAACCTACTCTACTTTAAATAAAATTAATTTAGCTGACACTTTTTACATTTGAATATGTCAGAAAAGTGGGGGGCACATTCATTGTGTATCCACCGTGGACAGAAGTCACACTGTATCTGCAAGGTAAAAAGAAAAAGAAAGTAAAAAGAGTTAGAAGTGTACTGCATAGTAACTATTAAATTCTACAGTAGGACTTGCTCTCCATGTTTGCTATAAATGCCCTCCCCCCCCCCCCCGAAATATATATCAAATAAGCATTTTAACAAGAATGTCTCGAGGATTTTATACAAATTAACTTACAAAATGCTATTTCTAACAATTTCGTATTTAAAGCATGTGCAGTCCCTGGAGAATTACAGGATATAAGCAAATGAAATACGTTGCAAAATTGTACATCAATTTGATCATCGATTGAACTGTTCCTTTAATCCCAACATTGAACAAGATTATCATGACTTTTTTAGGTGCTAACTACAACCTTGCTAGTAGTAAGCATCATGCTCACGTTTGATTAACTTCAATTAATCTGTATCCAAGATGACGTAATGTCCAAATCAAAAGCAACGATTGGCTGGGCGGGAGGTGTGTTTTGTACGGGACGCGTTTTGTAGATGTTTGCAGGTGCAGCTAGACCCTTCTGTAAATACACTTTACACTACCTCAACGCGCGAGTATCCCTTTAGTTTTGTACGAAAAATACAAAGTAAACTACCTCAACAGGCGTGTATCCCTTTTGTTATGTACAAAAAAATAATTTAATTACTTAATTTTTGGTGTTTTTCAAAAGGTATGGCGATCTGTCGGCTTCTCCAGCTGTTCGCAACTTTTCGCTGTAATACGCATGCGCAAGCATGTTCGCTAATGCGCAAGAATATGGGTATGCTGGTCTGTCGGGGTATGCTGACCTGACAGAACACCGGCATGAGAAAATGCTGATCCAGACTCCAGATACATTTCTTTTTAAAGTCCGATCCCATCCGAGCATTAGAATTAGCATTAGCATCTCCTAACCCACAGGTCTGTGTAAACTTTAGCTGTTATAAGAGTAAATCCCTGTTCAACATGAGTCTGACAACTAAGAAAGAAGAGAAATAACTTTCAACTTTTAATACAAAAAGCTGGATCGGGACATCCCTACTGTATTTCTACATAATAAGATGATTTCTATAACCATAAAATAGTTATTGAGGGGTGAATTGATTCAGACGGAGCACTACTGAAGGTCTAGGTGTGAAATGCACGGTCCGCCACTGGTTTCCAGTGAACCTTTTGCATCATTTAATGGTAAAACTTTATTCAAAACAGTCATTTCCACATTATTTTTAAACATTATAGTAATGACCAAAAACAAAAGAACTCTACAAAAGTTGTTTGACTGACTGATGATCTAATCCATTTATTTTCTCTCTTCTCAGACTCAGTGGCTGTAACCTCTCAGAGAGAAGCTGTGAAGCTCTGTCCTCAGTTCTCAGCTCTCAGTCCTCCAGTCTGACACATCTGGACCTGAGTAACAACTGGCTGAGGGATTCAGGAGTGAAACATGTTTCTGCTGGACTGGAAAGTCCAAACTGCAGACTGGAAACACTCAGGTCAGAACTGGATGAACACTGACTTTTCCTTCCAGAAAGTGAAGTTTAGGATTATGAAGTAGTAAATATGTGAAAATGGGCAGTTTTGTTTAGGAATTTAGCAAAAATTATTACAGATTAGTGCTCTGTGTTTTATGAAAAGATGCAGCCAGATCAGCCGCAGGTCTATGTGAATCTAGCTGAGATTTTAGATGCAGACTTTATTTTATTTGTGAAGACTAAAGATTGAACCATTTTCCTGTGACATCACATGTTCATATAGTAGGTTTGCAGAAACGCTAGATATGTTTGTAGTTTGTTATGCAAACAGGCATCCCCGTATTTTTTATCAATAATTGAATTATCATAACATTTATTGTCACATGACTTTTCCCACATACAAGAAAACACAGAGTTAGGTCAGTAGAGGGCGCTGTTTACGACTGTGTATTCACCAGGGAGATAGCTACCTAGTTTGGCACATGGCCTCAGCAGTAAAGCAGGTCGTCCTCTCCTTGTTGATCCACAGCTACGGTTAAACGGTTAAAAGGCACATCTCTGCATTGAGTGTAGTTCAGTAACTCTTGTGAATGCTTTATTCATTACTCTGTAATGTCAGCACACCATTTTAGACTGGTAGTTTGTGTATTAAGTTTCTTTTCTAGTTACTTTTGGCCCAACAGTTCTCTGTTTTCCTTAATTTACTGTTAGGGTAATACTGTCAGAAGGTTTATTAGCAATAATAACCATTCATAACATAAATATGTTGAGCTAAATGAGTTAAAATCAGAATAAGTGTCATTAGGATTCTACATGTATCCTTTGATTGTAATTTGTGTGTTCTTGAATGTCAGCA